AAAAAGGTGGTATTGTCATCGGTATGAAACTTATGAAAGCACTGCTGGGAAGGATGCTACAAAGAAGCCACGATTGGTGCAGAAAGAAACTAAAAAATGTGGATGTAAAAGTTATATTCATGTTAAACTTCCTGTTGGTTCAACGACAGTGACTCTTTGTCACTATTATAAATATATAAATCACTATTCTGGTCAATTGTCGGATTTATGCACTCTCCCTCTCTCAGAAAATATCTGGCAATTCATTCGGCAATGTGCTCTTGAGAGGCTTGATGCTTTTAGCATTCAACAGCTTCTGCGTTCCCAGGCAGTTGAACTTAAGGATCAAATTCAGTCACTAAAGCAAAAGCGAGGCAGTGGTTCTTTACAAAATATTCAACAATTAAGAGATGGGTTAGTAACCAAAGAAAATATTTACTCAATCGTGTATGATATAATGAAAATATGTACTTATCTTGATGAGGACGAAATAAAGTCCTTAAATAAATGGAGGGTTAAAATAATCAGCATGGGTGGGTATTGTTTATTTGAGCCTGGTAATCGGGAGCAAACTTCAGTAACTGATACCGGATTCCTATTTACTTTCCAAACAAAAAAGCAAAAAGAATTAATACATCATGCCAGAGTAGTATGCTTAGACGGCATACATAGAATAAATAAATACAGCTATCATCTTTTTACATTTATCATATGACATCCAATGGCCAGAGGTGGCTATCCTATCGCATTTCTGATTAGTAAATTTAAAAAAACAATAACTTTAAAAAAATAGATTGAGTTCTTAAAGCTTGAACATAAAGAATGGAGTCCTAATATTTTCATGGTTGATGATGCTGGAGAAGAAATAAAAGCAGTTGAAGAATGCTTTCCCGATAGTACAGTACTACTATGCTATTTTCATGTATTAAGGTCCTGGTGTAGAAAATTAAATTATCATTCAAGTAATGTTGATAAATATAAGGCAACTATTTGGAATGACCTCTGGCAATTAATGAAAACTGAGGGATAGGATGATGCAGAAGCAAAAAAACAAGTTACCAATGCAATTAATAGGTGGCAAAAATTCAGCATTGAAAGTATAAACACCTTTGCTGATTACTTCGAGTATTGGTGGAAACCAAAATACGATAAGTGGATGATATGCTTAAGGGGAATTTCCAGAGATATGATCAATACAAATAACTTAATCGAAGCATTTCATCGAAAGCTAAAATATTTTTATATGAGAGGATGCCCAGGGAGACGGCTTGATAATGAAGTATATCTTCTTGTAGAAGTTGTACTTGGGACCTAGAATTTTCAGTTTTTTTAGATGAATTAAAGGTTGGTAGAATGAATCCACTGAGGCATCAGCAGCAAATTCGTGAAATTACAGGAACAACAAGCATTAACCAAAACAACATTTATAGTGTTGGATCTGATGTTTGGGTTATACACTCTATGACGAATGATGATGTAGAGTATTCTGTACGAAAAAAAGATTCTGTAAATAATAATAATAATAATAATTTAGATACAACCTCATATATTTGTAATTGTCGTGATTTTAAAATACGACAGTTACCATGTAAGCATATTTTTGCCATACTTAACTAACTTCGTATTAATGCCGATAATGCTAAAGAAAGTAGCTATGATAACGATTATCTTACGCAACAATTCATGAATCCTAGCATTGAAGAATCTCTTAATTTTTCCAACTCTATTGGCCCTCTAGGTGATGAAAATTTTGAATTTACTAAATTATAAGAGGAGCTTGCATCAATTGCCACAGAATGGAAAGATAAGGGAAATCAAGAAATTCGAAGCTTGCGATTAACACTTAGACAAGCTATTCAAGTAGAAAGAACAATAAATGCAAGAATTAATATCACATTGATAATAATGTATTAGATACATCTAACCTAGCACCAAACACTGTAATTAAAAAACAAAATAGATTTTAACTATGTTAGCCTATATAATTAAATAGATATTCAAATATTACCTTCCGACTTGAATTCTTTTTTTTTTGGTATTATAAAGTATAAATCTTTCAAATTTCTATTATATGTTGATGAAATTAGTATTGTTGAAAAAACTTGCGGGCTCTAATATCTTACTTTTTTAATAAAAAAATATTAGTATCCGTATCTTTAAATAAGTAAATAATCATCTAAAGTGTAATACTTCACCAGAAATACGCTGCTCTAACCATAATCGCCTAATTCATCTCAAAAGATTTGACCGTGAATATTTGCAGGAGATATATTTAATTAAAATATTAATACCCAAAAGAGAGATACGTAAAATTATTAATTATCAGATACATTATAGAAGCTATAAATTTAACCCAAAATAGTTAATTACATTTTATACCCTTACCAATTTTAGATATGCACCTAATTATTTTAAAAAAATTTTTATATGAAATCCCGTGAATTAACATGCTATAGTATTTAATGAATCTTGATATGAAGGGTCTAATAAATCTACAATCACGAAAAATCAATTTTGTAAGTATAGAAAACTAATACTATATTAATAAAAAACAATTTGGCACGCATATATTTTTCTAGTGATGCATAAATTACGCGCAAAGACTACAAAGTACTGTTCGCTCCTGTTAACAAGATAACTACACATTAAGATAATTAAATAGTTCAAAAAAACTTTAAATACCTCACCTGATTCTCTCTAATATTCCAAGACAATATCAACACATTTTATTTTTTCTCTCAAAAGTTTTATTCACACAGTATAAAACTTATCATCAATTCTATATCTTTATGGCTGATCTGTATAATACAGTCATGACCGAATTATTAGGTCACAATAATAATCTAATTAGCAATACAATTACTTCTCCAAATGATCTGTTACAAAATTACCATACTCAAATCGTGGTAGCTTACCAGTACCTTCACCAATCCAAAAGAATGGGAAATAGAAAAGCGGTATTGTGGTATGCCTATTATTTAGGTAAAATTTTGGAAAATATGCCACCTGAAGAAAGACCGTCTTGTTCCAAGCAACTTTCCCGATACTATAACACTGCAGCTGTTCAAACTTATTATATTTTTCGTAAGTGGGGAACTGCCCAAATCAACCAAACCACGAAGTTAACATTGTCAATGGTCTATGAACTGAAAGTAAGAGACTATCAGACTATAGTAAATTAATAGCAATATTGCGACAGCTTAGTAGAGAAAAAGAAGGAATGCTTCATTATATGTAAAATTCCTTACTTAAATTAATAAAGATTAATATTAGTATTCGTATTTCTTAAATAAGTAAACTAATATAAAAAAATATTGTACTTCTCTCTTGCAAAAATAAATCATTAGTTATCGTTATCATATATGAAGAGATCAATAGTTAAACTTGGGTATTCAACCTAACAAATTTCTTAGCTTTAATTAATGCTCTTTTTATCTATAGTTGCATAGGTAAAAGAAATATTGTGACAGGTTAGTAAAGTTGTGAATCAAATAATATTAAATATGATTCCACTTTACTATCTCGCAATAATATTCAATACTTTCTTTACTTTATACTTGCTATATATTCAGTGTCTTAAGTGCCTATTGAGCTTCTTATTGCAGTATTACGGTAGCTTCAAGATTTGATCTCAAGATCTTTAGCTTTTCTAAAGGTATGAATATTGCGAAAGTTTAGAGAAGAGTTATATAAGATTATCTAATCTTAAAAAAATTTTTTTCGAAGTTGGAGGCGCAGTATTAACGGTCGACTAATCACGTTATTAGAGATCGTCGATTTCGGCCAATCGGAAATTTGGATTATCTGCACCCAATAGAAACTTGGGGGGGAAATTAGTAAACGCGTGTACATGATGTAAAAATGTGATTTTGTTTGATCACCGTCCCTGCAACAATTTGATTGTGTGTAACAGAAGTTATAGTAAATTATTAATATTTTTGATTTGAAAATATTATTCTCAATTATACTGTTTACCCATTATTGTAGTGTGTGTTGATGTAACAGTAGTGATATGTTAATATAATTGAATTGTTGATATTTTTAGCTTGAAAAATATTCGTATCTGTTATACTGTTAACTGCGTTTATGTATATGTAACAGAAGTAATATGCTATTATTGTCTGGTGCAAAAAGTTTTGCACCTCAAAAAAATGCTAATAATAATTTTGTTTTCACTATATAAATGATTTAAAAAAAGAAGAAAAATTTTTTTTTTATATTAATTTTTTAATTTTATATTAATTTTTTATTTATATCACATTTGAAATCTAAATTTATGAAATTCTTGCAATGCAGGATTGTAATTTTCATAACATAACCGCCTAGGCTTCCATGATGATACTTTTTGTGCGGACTTAGTAAAAATAACTGTTTAAAAGCAATAAATCCGTGGTGTCATTGTGATATGAATTATTTATTATTGTTATATTATTATTATATGGGAAATAAGCTAGAAAACAAACCTTCGACACTTTTTGGTCGATTTTATGATTTTTAACACTAGTTAAATTCTGTTTCTTATTTATACACTGTACAACTTTTATCAGATGCTAATTTAATAAAATAACGAGATATTTAGTTCTTCGAAGATGTAATGCTCTAAAAACAGAATAATAACCAATTAGAAGATTATCAATTTAATTTGGCATAGAATTTTGGCATGTGATCTCGATTGTATAAAATTTTCAAATACTACGTGTCTAAAATAAATCAAAATCTGGAATTTAAATTTGAATACTGCATTTTTGAATTTACGTACTTACATGTGTTCTGTATCTATCTTTGATGAATCAATTGAGTAGCGATAAGATAATTTGAATTTAATTACTGTAAGATTAACAAATGATATTAATTACTGTAGTGATATTAGATAATGCTTTTTATTTATCAAGATATGGCGTAAAAATTGACAATTTCAAAAAACATTAGAATACATGAAATATATTGTTCTTACAGAACAAATTCAAAAGACGAATACTTATCATAAACAAGCCATTTCTTCTGGTTAAAAAATGCCACCATCAGAATGGTAAATACATATCTCGTGGGTTAGAAACTTCGAGTTCAAAAAATTCTCTCATCCTATGATTGAAAATAATGAATTGTAGAACAATAATAGTATCAACTGACAATTCGATAAGACCGCAAACAGGAAATTGAAGCGGTGCATTCGTGCTTATGTAGTAGTAGGTCTTAAATGAATCACTGCCAAACCAGGTGAGAAGGACCAAAATACTTTTGATAATTTCATAATATAAAATTATTTATTAATTACATTTTCAAAATATTATAATTTCAAAAAGTTAATATAATGAAATTATAACTAAATACCTGAATCCTTCAACGGATTGTTGTTTAAAATTTTGCCAACCTTGAGACATAGGAAGCGTACTTTCGATTCCCAGGGCCTTGACCGATCGTTTTTCATTAATTAATGTGCACAAATTACTTTAATCATTTGTCAATACATATATAACAGTGCATACCACATATTCTAAAGCTTCCACGAACCAGGGCTGCTCGTTAAAGAAAATGGAAAGGACTTCCAACGTTCCTGTTAAAAGAAGCAAAAAAAATAATATACGACTCATATTCTCGCCAGTTCCAAAACCATCGTTGATTTGATGTATACATAAGGTGATCACGAAATCTTAAACCCTCATAAAGAAGAACGAGTTGAATGGTAATCATTAATGTGCTTTGATATAAAAGCGTATTATCACATCTTCGTCCAAACCTGTTTAATAAAATATGTGGTGAGTTCGATTCTTTAGATTATATTAAAATACTAATCCAAAATGCTCTCTTAAAATGTTCTCTTGCCAGTAGAAAAATCGAATAACACTAAAAATAATAAGTTAATGGATTAAAATCATGATAAAATCGATAAAAAAAATATATCTTGTTAGATCTTTGTAAGTTATTCATTACTTGCTAATCAACAATACACCACATGTATCCAAAGAAAACCCGATGCTAGTTTTTGTTTTTCGAAATTTTGCGATTTGATGAAATTATCCTATCGAAAGTAAGATGATCATACAGATCTCGAGAATGTAAGTTATTACAGATTTAGTCATTTTCGTTTTAAAGTTCGTAGAGTTCCAATCCGGATAATCTGTCATCCATTTATCCGTATCCATTTATTCGGATAAACCAAAATCGCTCGGATATCCGAATTAGGGATGGGTTCGGTCGGTCACGTTCGGTCACGGTCAGTCATTACCGGTTATTGACGGTCAACCGGTTGACCGCGGTCGGTTATATAAGGTTATCCGGCAAACTCATATGATCATGAAAAAATTTCTTTCTGTTATTTTTTTCATGTGTTACGATATAATTATGTT